GCCCAACTGGAAGATTGTGAAATTGTGTACACCATCGACATGTGCTAACAGAATATTGAATGTATTCTTTGATACCCACACAAAATGAGAAAGGAAAAGACATGAATTTTACAGGTAAATACTAAATAGTCTGAACTAAGCTTTTGTATAGATTGTAAATACTGTACACGCAATTTATAAAAGCGAGAAAAGTGTCACAAAATGTATTTTGACCTTGTCAAGAGAAATCTCAAGGGGAACAAATACGAAGGGTACAGGTGAAAATTGGCATCAAATCGACAATCAAAGCTCCCAAATTGTAACATTAGGGCCTACATGGAACAGTACATGGCGTATGATCTGCTGTTGTTTTCCCCCTAGTGGGTTTGCCTCATGAGGGCTTTTGCCAGCTAGTGGCAGGCCGATCACACGCTTCCTGTGCAGAGAGACTGTACCACTCTGACTCACTCACTCACTCTCACTGCATGGTAACTACAAAGGAGGAGGGGGTTCAGCAAGCTTTGCACCCCCAGTGTCACATGACCCCCTTCATACAGGCAGGCTACGCAGTCAGTCAGTCACTAGCATCTATAGAACATTGTCCTTTCACTGTTTTAAGTCGTGAAAGGGAGGGGCAACTAATCATTTGACACTTGCTTGCTTGAGCAACTGGTAATGACATAACTGAACTAAAACACATAATCAGTTCCCCGACACCTACAACCCAACCCCCCACCCCCACCCACACACACACACACACACACACACATACAAAAGAAAAGGAGGAGACAGAATTATTTTGACTTCAGCAATCTCCATTTTCACGTTTCTGTCATTTTGCTTGTTTATAAATTAATTAAGTGGATCTTCCTGTTCAGTATGGTAGTTGGAAAGTTTTTTGTTTTTAAATCTGTTTGAAATTACTGAGCTTGACCAATCTAGTCTCAAACTTATTGTATAATTGAAAAAGGTGACTATTAAATGCTTAAAGGGATTGGGTAACTTTGCCTCAGATTCTGAAACGAAATCCTGGATTTAGCTCATGCTACAATAATTAAAACCTTTAGGTCAGTCAGGAACCTCCTGACTTTTACAAGCCGATCGCCTTTCTCATTATCAAGATATTTATGACTGGAAATCGAAATCAAATTTTGCCCTTTTTTAACGGTTTTCATTACTCTATTGGGGGAAATGAGTATGGTAAAAACTGGTCACTCAAAGATTTTTACTTTTTAGAGGCACTTCATGATCATTTTGAAGTGCAATTTTTTTTAGGGCTTCAATATTACACCATAGCACAGACACTGATAACACGTAGGGCCATGCATCTCAGGTTTAACATTGTTAAACGATGCCTTTAATATAAATGCTAATGATAAAATATATAGATCTCAATACTTCAAAGTAAGAAGCATTTCAGAAAATCCACATTTCACATGAATTACTGAAGAAAAGTTAAGCAAAGAAGATACATCAGTCAACAAAAGAAGTAGCCATTTTCCCCCATTCTAATAAAGTGAACAAGAATATTTATGCTTTCCAACATCCCAATTTAAAGAAAATACAAAACATCATGTCTTCTCACTAATCTTCAATAAAAATAAACATCTTCTAAAGGTGTAATGATAATAACTCTCATGTTATGTTCAATATAACAATGAGGTTTATTACTTGAAAGGCCATTATTTAAGTTGCGGACAAGCAGACAAATTGCTCCCTCGAGTGCCTGGGACAATGAGTGTTTATCTGCGTGTGGGTGTGGGATTGTGTGCATGAAACTTTAAGGAGCGAGCAGACCATCACTGCCTTTTAGGTGACAACTATACGTCATAGTGACTTGTGAATATATGCATAGCATGGGCCCATCATCATTCCTGGCAGATTGGTAGAGAGATTTGGTATTCCAACCATTCTTCAAACACCAACTGCGTGTTAGAGAACAGGGGGGTGTTTCACAAAACTTGTCATCAGTGACAAATGACAGGTTTGTGTTATAAGCTATCAAAATCCTTGCTTCTGATTGGTTATCAGCAGATTTGTCACTGATCTTTGTCAAAAAAGGCTTTGTGAAACAGGCCCCTGGTCTGCAGCCAGGTCCATTCCCATCGGGTTTAATCTCCCTACTTATCTGAGAGCAGTGCCAGTAAACAGAGCGAGGACTGGTGACGTGAGAACAGAGTGTGGTTAGGATGCCTAATGATGCCGTCTAATGATCTAGCCGTGTGGTTTCCACAGCGATTTAATGAGCACCTACGCCACTGCACTTGTCGAGATCGTCTATGCGTGCGTCTGATATATGAATGGCTTGATAGGTTTCAGTTTTTAAAGAGATGGTTGAGTTAGTGAATACAGCTCTTTGCAAATAAGCTTGTTTAGTTTAAACATTTCACCTACAGTCTAAAGGTGATATGGAAACCATATAAATCTTGCGAAATACAAGCCGCTATTTTTTTATGTCCTGACAAGTTATTTCAACAGATTGAAACTTGAAAGAGTTTTATGTGAAGACATTAGATTCATTGGAAAGGTGGGAGAGAGTCTGTTTCTGAAGAGAAAATTATGGATTTCATATAATTTCCTTTTTGCTTACCGGTATCCAGAATTCATGTAGAGTTTCCAATGGCTATAATGCACAGCTAACAAATATCTTTAAATGTGTTTTCTGCAAACTATTCTTCTAGCAATGATGCCTTACAAAAACTGCAATTTTCATTGTCTTTTGTCTCGTCGCTATTCCAATATAGATGAAACCAAATGTAGAATTTCTACAAGAATTTTTACAAGAGCATCACTGGGAACATTCACTTTAGGCATGCTGACACGTACTGTAATAACACCAGATCTACTCTGATTCCGATATCAGGGTCCCGAATCATTCATCTCATGTCCACACCAAATAGTATCATGCAAAATACCCTGGCTGGCAGCGAATTTTTTTTCCGTACTCGAGAGAGCAAAAATCCCATGTGCGCATGCGCGTGGACTTATGATTTCTCTGCTACTTCCCATACGAAATGTACATGTATTCGCATGTACTGTGCACGATTCGCGTTCTACGAGTAAACGATGGCATAGTAGTCTTCAAACACAGACTCTGATTTGCCAGTTTGACAAATCAATATGCGTATGTGTCGCGATGTGCTTATTCAAGTCTGTGTAGTTGTATGATTCAGACCCAGTAGTGCATATGGAAATACATTGCAACTTGTATAGAATGGTATAGTAGTCTGCAAGCACAGACGCTAATCTGACAGTTTGACAACATACTAGTAGTGTGCTGAGAAGTACTTTATTCAAGTCGCCAACTTGTATAGAATGGTATAGTAGTCTGCAAGCACAGACGCTAATCTGACAGTTTGACAACATACTAGTAGTGTGCTGAGAAGTACTTTATTCAAGTCTGCGTAGATGTATGATTCAGACCCTACTGGTGCGTGCGTTAGAAATGCATCTCAATGTGTAGAGTGTAGTATAGTAGTCTGCAAGGACATAATAATATATTGTGTATTGATGAGTAGTGATTTTATGCAAGTTTGTGTAGTTTAATGATTCCAGACCCCATGGTAGGCCTATGTATTGTGCCACTGCTCTCTCACACTCTTTCTCTCTCTCTCTCTCTCTCTCCATATCTCTCTCTCTTTCTCTCTCTCTCTCTCTCTCTAGCCCTCCCTCCAGTATGCTCGCACTCTCTGTATTACTTTTATTTATAATCATGGTCTGCTGAGAGCCAGAAGGATGTTAACTCTTAACACAACGAATGCCCTTCTGGCTCTGAACAAACCCACACACCATGAGGTCATATTAGCGTCTGTGCTTGCAGACTACTATGCCACTCTGCAAGTTGAGATGCCTTTCCAATACACGCACCAGTAGGGTCTGAATCATAAAACTACACATATTTGAATATAAAGCACTACTCAAGACACTATGTTGTCAAACTGTCCGATTAGCGTCTGTGCTTGCAGACTACTATACCATGCTATTCAATTTGGGATGCATTTCTGTAAGCACTAAAATGTCTGAATCATACAACTACTCAGACTTGAATACTAGTACTATTGCTACGCACGATATATGCGTAATTGTTTTGTCAAACTGGCAAATCAGAGTCTGTGTTTGAAGACTACTATGCCATCGTTTACTCGTAGAACGCGAATCGTGCACAGTAGATGCGAATACATGTACATTTCGTATGGGAAGTAGCAGAGAAATCACAAGTCCACGCGCATGCGCACATGGGGTATTTGCCCTCTCGAGTACGGAAAAAAAATTCGCCGGTCGGCAGATAATGTTTTTAAGGAGTGAGCTACTGTATTCTTATCTCATCTCTCGGGGTGACGCAAATCATCCCATCTGGAGTGCTTAGCAGGTGTTTATCTGGAGAAGAATGAGGTGAATTCTCCTAATCATGCCACAAGACCAATAACATGTAGCGATACGCTATCATCTGCTGAGAGCTAAGAAGTACATTAACATCCATGTACAGAAAAGAGTTAATGCCCTTCTGGCTCTAAAGCGACATTGTTTTCTTCTTTACATTTGCATAGAGTTAAAGAGGAGCAACTTACAAGGCTCTGAATGCCTCATGCTTAGCAACATGACAGAAATGCTGTATTATAATAATGCTTTTTGACCGCACATGCTGGAACTGCTTGGCTAACCAGTCCTCATTACCACTGAATAGGCCTACGGCTTTCGAACATGTATATGATCTACTGTAAATGGGTTCAAACTTGTTGATTTTTACAATTAACTTTGCATATACATGTATATTCACAAAAATGTAACTCACAGAAACCCCAAACCATAGTTAATAATAGCTTTCAAAATATTTTTACACACGACAATGAAAAAAGTAGATGCATGCCTAAGCTTACTCACTTATCTGTGTGTTGTAGAATACTAAAATGTGAAACACACTGTTATTCCATTTTGCTGCAACCAAAAAAAAAAAAATCCTTTTCAGCCATTTACAGTGTCAAGTGTCAACGAAGCTTTAAACAAAGTGTTTTAAATCTCACCTCAATGATGTCTGAGTTGGTCCTGCTTTCATGAGGCTCACTGTACTCTGTGTACTTGAGTAGCACCTTATCCATGTCTGTGCTGGCATACTGGAAGAGCTTGTTCCCACTGTTGAAGATAATGAGGGCTATCTCACAGTCGCACAGGACACTCAGTTCATAGGCCTTCTTCATGAGACCAAACTTGCGTTTTGTGAACGTTACCTGCATAGTGGAGATAATCATTGTACAAGAAAGGGAGCGAAAGTTGGAAGAAAAAAAAGGGAAACAAATGAGTTGCTATCTATTGTAAAGTGATTAGAAATAATATATGAAGTGCTATATAAATATCAAGCATCACATAAGGGCGGAAGAGAGGAAAGAGACAAAATGATAAAATACAATGCAGAAATTGTAATGAAAAATTCAGGACTTATGCAAATATAGATATTTACTGTCCTCATCTGGAAATTCTATTTGCCTTTTTCAGTTTTATCTGACAGAGGAAGAAATGATCTCACATTCTCAATGAATCTTGTATTATAACTATTATACCTTTCTTTTACCACATCCACACACAAAAATGGGAAAGGCTAGAAAACAGAAATATTTGATTTAGGAAGGCATCTTGAATACCTGGTAAGAGTCCCATTGATCTACGTGTTTGAACTCATCAATCCTCTAGGAAATTGACATTTCAAAAGTATCCTTATCAAAATGATTACCAAAATAGAATACAAGCTGCATCATTCATACTGCTGCCATGATACATGATGCAGCAGTCTTCCTCCCACCCGTTTCTTAACGTCTTTCATTTAAATAGAATCCCCAGATCTACAGTGACCCCAACTTGTCAACACAGATTCCGGGTTCCACAACAGGTATTGAATTGTGTGGAGGGATGAAACAAAAGGAGGAGAAACAAGACTTTGATATCGCCAGGCTTCCCTTGTCTGTCTGCTATACGATATTTGGGTCCAAAAGCGAGAAATCCATCCCCAAAACTCAGATGTGTACTGGTAAACAGGCTATCACGTTTCCAGTGACGTCACGAGGGAGCCGATACTACTGGGGGGCACAACACATCAATTTCACTTAACGGCCATAGAATGGGGTGTTTCAATGGGGCCGGAGATGTTAATTGTGCATCAATAGTGGAATAAATTTATCAAAACACCCGCCTAGTCTCTGCACTGGAGCTGAGAAGGCTTCCCTGTGCTCTGGTGTTTTGGGCTTACATGTACATAGCCAGATAAGGCAAGACCAATCTGCACTATGCAAAATCAAAATTTAATATTTTGCTTGTCCTATTGCTATTTAAATGAAAGGCAAGCAACATTTTCTACTGAATCCCTTCATGTAGTGCAGCTTGACAACGGTTCTTATCATATCACTGCATGAAATACACAGCAAGACATACATTTTGGTTTAAAATTGTATAACCATCTAAGCAGAACAATGAGGGCATTTGGGGGAGGCTACTTCATATTTCCATAAAGACTACCCTGTCAAAACATTAAAGGGGAAATCCACTGAAGTATCAAGTGGGCTCGATAATTTTTTATTTCTTTAAATAACAGGAAAAAACAGATACTGGCAAGTTAAAGTACACAGAAAATATAAAGAAAAGGTGATTCTGAAGTTTTTGGCCCGAATTCACAAAGCAAGGTTTGAGCTCAGACCAAGGTTTGAGCTCAAACCTCCTTTTGTTTCGCCAAACCTCCTTTTGTTAATTATAAACCAGGTTTGTAAATAACAAAAGGAGGTTTGGCGAAACAAAGGGAGGTTTGAGCTCAAACCTTGGTCTGAGCTCAAACCTTGCTTTGTGAATTCGGGCCTTTGAGTTTGATCATGCACAAATTAGCAACCCTGATTTATCATGTGAACACTCTCCCATTAGTTATGTCTTATAAATTTCAATTATCTCCATGTAAAAAACATTTCATTATGCCTATGCCTTTGATATATCATTGGACACATATTTGTATACACCCCTCTGTGATCTATTCCTCCAACAACCAAGATAATGAAAATTATATTTTAGTACAAAACCTATGGGAGAGAAATCGCAAGGTAAATAACAAAGTTTTTAATTCGCATTTGATCAAGTACAACTTTTAAAAACCATCCGTTCTTATCCTTTCTTGGATATTCCTTAAACTTCTAGTGACCTGTTCATCTCATTTTTCTGCTTTCATTAAAATCAACTCAACATTAGAACAAATTTCCCCTTTAACTGGAATTGCTTTTAAGATAAACGGGTTGTCATAAGGGGTACTTGATTTTCCTCCTAAGGCTACTAACTGCCTCTCCACCCATTACTGCAGTTTTTCCACATTGTATATACATCACGGGTCATCAGGTCACGTTTTTCTCTTTTTCATCATAACTTGCTCATGCCAATCTCTTCTTTTTAATGTAATTCCAGGCTTACGATCAATATCACATGTTTCTCTGAGCACGTGCTCCATTGTAATTCTAATCTAACAGCACTCCATATTCTGTATATTTTGAAAGATTACACAGCACACAATGTATATCCTGCGCATTGCGTTGAAATGTGTTTGTCATTTGTCTGGTCAGTTATCCCGTGATGAGCCCCATAATGGCGAGATTTAATTAGCAATTTTTTAGTCCCTGTTTCAGACAGTTAAACGTATGCCTAAATGGGAATCCTATTGAGTCTGAATCTGTTTCCAATCAAGATTAGTATTTATTCTCTCTGAATCAATGACACTCTCTTTCGCCATCCTCGTCTCTCTCCCTCTCTCTCCCTCTCTCTCTCTCTCTAAAGCTGAACATGTACTTTATTCTTTATTTTCCCTTCTTTCTCTCCCTTATTATTTGCCATGAATGCGAGTCTAGCTCTTGGGTAAAAATATATCTATATGAGCCACACATTTCGTAGTCTACATCTGCAATAGATCTTGGTAATGTTTTTCCACGCTCAAAGACTCATAAAACATTTACAAGATTTATGAAGTCTTGAGCATAAAACACATCAGGACAACACTTCCCCACAGTGACCCGTATTCCCACACAAAGGCCAAGGTCTCTATGTTGAGACTAGCATGAGTGTAGGATGTCACCCACCTGTCTATTCCTCTCATCATTGATTCTTGAAATCTGAATCTTCTTGCGACCCATGCTGGTTGCTTTCAGAAGTCCAGCCAGTGCTAGCGGTGGTAGCCGGGGGTCGGTCCGTCCGTGGGTTCTCGCTCGGTTAAATCCTTTATTCCAGTCAACTACGACCGGTGCTGCGGGTTTACTTTTCCTCGGTATTCCTCAAATCTGGTGTGAACATTCAAGACGTTATCAGCTTGAACCTACTGATCTTAGGAAAGCGGGTAGCAGGTAGAAGTTTCCTGTGATTCACGGAAAAATGGGCACAAAGGCTGCAGAAAGCGAATCGTTGACTATGTCTTCACCATGTTTGATAGACTTTTCTGCAAGTGGAGAGAGGAAAAAGAAAGGCAAATGTCATTATTCACAACATCATAATAAACAATTTAGAACAATAAAGTACCTTGCTATAAATCTAGTTATCCCAAACACAGGTCTACATTTAATGCACATGTAGGCCTTCATGCATCAAACATTCACATTTAAATGAATGATTATCAATTTAGGCCAAGAGCATTAGTTTTAACATGGACATTTTCCATAACAAGCTGATTTTTTCAGAATAGGTCCAGGAATATGTCTAGAATAACATACTAAAAGTCCTCATAAATCCTCCTTGAGCGTTTTCCGCAATCCAAGATGGCGTCCAAAATGGCCGCCATTTCCTGAATTTCTTATAACTTTGCAACTAGATAACCCAAATACAAAATTTAAATGTCTAAATATATGTTTGTTAGCATAAGGAACTCAATAAAATACTTGTTGATAAATTTTGAAACACACAAGTAGCTATAAACCACTTTAGCCCTTCCCGAAATCCAAGATGGCGTCCAAAATGGCCGCCATTTCCTGAATTTCTTATAACTTAGCAACTAGATAACCAAAATACAAAATTTAAATGTCCAAATATATGTTTTTCAGCATAAGCAACTCAACCAAATACTTATCAATAAATTTTGAAACACACAAGTAGCAATAAAACAACTTGAGCCCTTCCCAAAATCCGAAATGGCCATTTATTATTTTAAATTTATCTCACTGTATTAAAGTAGATACCTTATGAATATAATCAAATGTCTAGACCAGAATAGCACCATTTAGATACATATCAGTACAAAAAACTTGGCATTACAAAAATTATGAATAAAGTACACACACACCCACCCACACACACTCACACACATATGGCTGCTTCCATCATTCTCAACGATATCAGACTGACAGTATTCAACAGTGAAGAGATGGAGACACATTAGTACCAAGGTCGCTAAAGCGTTTTATACATGATGACTGTATACAGGTGTGGTATGAATGTTGCTTTGCTGCACTGTTGAGCACTTGTTGGAGGTAGACTTTCTAACTGAAAAGATGAACTCAGAGAACTGCGACCGATTGCCCATTTGTATGCAATGTGACGGTAGTCATCAAGAGATTAAAAATTGCTGGCCCCATAAAACTTAAGAATGAAGGCTTCCCCGGCTCTTTTCCCCTTGCATGTGTGTTTCCACTGTCTGTGAATGCATCAAGCAAGTCATAGTCCCGTTTCTTGTGGACAATATCGAAAGCTTTACGCTTGTCCTGACAGTAGATTGCAGAGGCCGTATCACATCACTGCTTGAAGAAACATCAGGTAATTTCTAGTATCCTCTATAGCATGCTGAATTTTATGAATGTTGAAGGTCGCGACAGGATTACTGCGGCGTAGCATGTGCATATCTGTGGAAGTGGTTGCCCGAGCACCTACAGCATGACTAGTAAGTCTGTGTTCGTACCAACGACAACATCTGCACCTGTTCTGACTCTGCTACTGCTAGTGCTGTGGAGACAATCAGGATGGTGGCATCCGCTTCTGCCTGCTTGATACATAATGTACCAGCCATGAGCATTTTGTCACGAAGAGTTTGTATAAGTCTCATCTTATTGTTGCTGTTGGCTAGGAAAGCTGCTTGGGTTAAGGTTGTTGGCATATTATAATCAGATATAGAGGTATATTTCTGGGCTATTCGTCTCTGCTTAGCTACCTTTGTCAACTTGCAATTCCATTTCCATCGAACGCCACCGTCAAATGAGCTCCATAATGCTTAATGATGTATGAAATATATGACCAAACAACTGATTGTAGTAGGTGACCACCATCTAAAACAAAGAGACCATTTTCTGGCAGGTTGGATTGCTTGGTGAACGACTTCAGCAGGAGACCCAGATAACTCTTTGTTGGCTTCCGCACCACCCAACCTTTGAAAGAGAAAGTGCATGGGAGTAGGTTCATATTAAAGCAAAGAACGATTCCATCTGAGTGCTAGCTGTTATTCAGGACACATGTGATTCTGTTAAACAGTAGCATTGGGTTGACCTCTGTGCTTTGTCCCCTGATTTTCAAATCTTACTCTAATTAGCACCAATGGTCTTCACCTTGTCATTACGATGTAGCTTGATATCTGTGAACTTCCTACCATGCATTCGTTTCGGATGCCGCTACTAGGCCGATTTCTACAGGTTAATCACAATTGACAGATCAGATGAGCCAGCGACGATGTCAGTTGACAAGGAGACCAGGCAATTAGTTTCATATCCAACAAATGGTGATGTGCCTGCAGCCATCTAACAAATATGCATCTATCATTATTGTATCTTGACCTGGTACTTTGCCGTATGTCTTTATGCTGCTCTGATGTACCAGTGTGTACTCCGGTGAACTGTTCCAGTTCATCACAGATAGAAACACAGCGAGGAAGTGCATAAACCCACTTTGCCAATGTGCTGTCTGTGATTCCACGTCCACGAGTCATTCCTCCAGATGATTTCAGCTGCCGCATCAGTAACTGTTCAATGGTCTGATCAGAGGAGTTTCCACCCCAGAATAAATCCACACGGCAGATGGAGAAGTATCCCTTTTCTGCAAATTGTGTATATTAATTTCCTGGCATGGTTTGCTCTAGGGTTTCCATCTGTTGTAAATACAACCTGTCATATTTGTCATAAGGAAGATGTCCTGCAGCATGGAAATGTAGTATCAGTTCATTCACACAGCTTAGATGGAGCTTCTAGTCTGTCCTTTCAGCTCGAATGAAACACTGCAGAAGAGACACTTAGTTGTCGGATACACTGCACTCAAAGCTTCCCTGGCCTACTTTGTCCTGCTGCCTGATCAAGGAGTTGTGAAATGATCTGACTTAACTGTTTGACACACTCCTCCTCAGCACATCAGTCGCCTTCTTGTCTTAGTTAAGAAAGTACACCTTACAGATTCACTGAGTGGTCCTTATGTATGCTGTCTAAGATGCCAGGTTTACCCATCTACACGCCAATGAGGGCAGGCTAGGAAAATACATAACCTGATTGCATATGTATGATAGACCCTTTGGCGTACACTGTCTCCCATAGCTCTGCAAGCCCACTTCCATCCATGATGTGGCCTATGCTGCCTAGATATGACACGAGGAGGTAAAATCCACCAAGATGGACGATTACTTTTTCTAGGTCTTGAGAAGAAGCTACAATCTCTACTGCCGTGATGTACAAGGGCTGGTCAAATGTTTACTGCACATAAATTATTCTCAAGTTATGCTTTTCACATTGTGACTGTGCAAAGCATAGTGCCGTGGAGAAGGTACTCGATTGGAAGGGTCCAGATTGTAGAAGGGCAGAGTTCTAAATCTCGTCCTCTCTGCATGGCCACTTTCATCATACCTTGGAAGTAGGCATGAAGTTATAAAAAACGTATTTGTCCCTCGGTGTCCGCTAGTGGGCCACTCTTGAATTTGAAACCACTCCATGAAAGACAAAGCTCATGCTGCTCAAGATGTATATCTGTTCACGTGAACCATACTTCCGGTGTACATACACAGCTATTCCACCAATATTGGCGACACAAATTACCCGGGTCTTATGACAGAGCTGATGGCATGTGCTATTGAGTTGCATTTTTTGTTTGCAACCGTGTGACTTTTGGCTTTGCTGTCCACTACATTATGTATGAAACGCTTTATGGCGACCTTGGTATACTCATGTGTCTCCATTTTCTAATGTTGAGTACTCTTCACGGTAACGGTTGTACACTTCCGGTCTGATACCGTTGAGTATGATGGAAGCAGCCGTATGTGTGCATGTGTGTGTGTGTGTGTGGGTGGGTGTGTGTAAACTTTATGCATAAGAAATATTTATTTCATGACAAGTTTTTTGTACTGATATATATTTAGATGGTGCTATTCAAGTCTAGTCATTTGTTTATATTCATATTAACGTATCTACTTTAATACAATGAAATAAAATTTGAAATAATGGCCATTTAGGGCGCCATTTTGGATTTCGGGAAGGGCTCAAGTGGTTTTACTGCCACTTGTGTTTTTCAAAATGTGTTAATAAGTATTTGGTTGAGTTCCTTATGCCGAAAAACATATATTTGACCATTTAAATTTTGTATTTGGGTTACCTAGTTGCACAATTACAAGAAATTCAGGAATGATGGCTGCGATTTTAGGCGCCATTTTGGATTTCGGGAAGAGCTAAAGTGCTTTATAGCTACTTGTGTGTTTCAAAATTTATCAACAAGTATTTTATTGAGTTCCTCATGCTAAAAAACATATATTTAGACATTTAAATTTTGTATTTGGGTTATCTAGTTGCAAAGTTATAAGAAATTCAGGAAATGGCGGCCATTTTGGACGCCATCTTGGATTTCGAGAAGGGCTAAAGTGGTTTATAGCTACTTGTGTGTTTCAAAATTTATCAACAAGTATTTTATTGAGTTCCTTATGCTAACAAACATATATTTAGACATTTAAATTTTGTATTTGGGTTATCTAGTTGCAAAGTTATAAGAAATTCAGGAAATGGCGGCCATTTTGGACGCCATCTTGGATTGCGGAAAACGCTCAAGGAGGATTTATGAGGACTTTTAGTATGTTATTCTAGACATATTCCTGGACCTATCCTGAAAAAATCAGCTTGTTATGGAAAATGTCCAGGTTTAAGCCTATTTTGACCTAATGCTCTTGGCCTAATTTTATTAGGCGCTAGTCAGCTTGCCCAACATGCCAACATCTTCAACCATATTGGTTCTCTTTATTTCCTAAATAGTCTCATGTCAAAATACCAGGAGGCTATGTCATCAAACAAGTTTTCCAGGGCCCATGTTGCAAAGAGCTGATATCAATCGTAACTATGTACATAAGAGATAGGAGACTGCAAACTTGCGACTGATTGGAGGACTTGCGATTAGTTTGAATCGGTCGTAACTCTTTGTAAGACGGGGTCCTGGCCTACATATAATTCCCTCTCCATGGAGCTTCTTGCCGTTAACATTGTAACTCATTGATAGTTCATGAAGGCCTACACGTAGCGAGAGAAGTGGTATCTGTGTAATGATGTCACAGTCTTGTAACTGTTTTCATATCTGAGCAGTCACCTGTGACAGGCAAGAAGCGCTCCCTTCTCCCTCTCGCTCTGCAAGACATATCTTGATTGATACATCAATTACACTGCGGGAGGGTCTACTGCATGCGCCCACCAATTGAAACGTTTTGAAGCGTAGGCTCATGCCCTAGCACATGTTGTAATAATTAGGGAAAGATTACACCAATATTGCCACTTTCCTGTGATTTAAGCCATTGTATATCCAGACAGGGATGGCATTTTTCAGATTGGAAGAGTTTATTCTTGAATAATTCCCACAAAAACTAATATCATAATATCAATATTTTGTTTGATTGAACATCTTTAAATTATAAAGAATTATAAAAGTGAGATACCCATGTTCTTCTTTATCTAGTATGAATAAAAGAAGGGCACAAAATATTTGCTTTAAATAACATTTGACAGGGCTACAAGACTAGTCAATAAGAAATGACAGAGTCACAGAGAGAAGACTACATGTAGGAAACTGGCCTGTTAGAGCTGTTCAAACTACACCTGCTCATGCAACGCTGAACCTTCACACTGAACTTTCACAAATGGGGGGAAAACCATACCATCGATAATACACAGCACGCTATACCTTCACGTATCAAAAAGTTTGGCAACATTGATGTGTGTAAACTCATTTCATGCTCGCCCTAATTGCATAACATTGTCTGTGTCTGGAAGGATATAATTTATGCTAAACTCCCCCACTACATGTACCAGTAGGCCCCTTTAAACACCATTTTCCCTTATATCATATACCCCCGGTACACTGTATTGCCAAAAAAGAGTGAGGCACCGTTCCTAAGCTAATTAGGAAAGACCAACACTCAATGTATAAACATGTAGGCCTATGTACACATGCAAATGAGATGATCAACTCTCGTCCACAGACTCAAATACAAAGCTTTTTAGGTTGTCATAGCAAATAACTCCTATATATTCAATACGTGTAAAGAAATTACTACTGAAATATGTACGAATTAACTATATAGGTGTATATACATGTACGTGTATGGTGCTGGAATAAATCGCAATAGTCTTACACAGTCTTACATTTCTTATACAAAGTAAATTTATCTGTGATACCACCAACACACAAGAGTCATGTCTTGTGATAACTAGGTCAAACACTGCAAGAATGTTTCCTCCAGGGCCAGGTTGTCTCACTGCTTTAAAATCCTTCAGAATGCACATGTAGAGTTATAACAGAGTATTGTAAACACTAGAAATCCTGTGATACAAGAGTTTCAAGTACAGTGATTATTGAAACAAATGAGAAGCCATCCTTCACCTCTCTGTTTCACCCCCTTGGAGTGTTCATGCATGGATAGCTACCTGTTTGGTATAACTGTTTGGAATTAATCCTCTTAAGTGATCACCATTGTTGTCAAGTCTTTAGAGAAAGACTTGCCCTGTAAACAATGCCTGTTTGTTCAACTGTCACAGGACTCCATTCAAAGGCTGTTGTGTTGTGGCCAGCGTAGTAGTACACAGTGTTGTTGTCACTGAGCAGCAGCTAGGGCATTGATTCCAGCAATGATCGCGATCGATTGTTCCCCGAATGAGAGGGAACCATTGAGGGTTCAGAGACAGAGGGAGAGAGTGCAAGGCCTATGCATGAATCCTTCAGTTTTCTACTGATCTGTCGTTTGCAGTACCATTATCCTGTCAGCATCAATGAGATTCTCACAAATCCGATGCAATGTAATCAATCATGCGTCCCTAGCTCACAGGCTCCTGCTCCGTGAACGCATCATAGCCATGCAGTGCACTTGTGTCAATTGGTGCTGCTGCTACTGCGTGTATTACTACGCAAGAGTATTGACAACACTGTATTCATACATGTGAAAACCAATCACAGAGCAATGCATGTATTGTACATGCACTGTGAATATGTCATTTTCACTCAATGCTCAGTATCTCTAGATCACGACAATTGATATGTAGGCCTACACACATGTACATGTCATGTGCACTGCCAAGCTGATTATAAAAATATGTAAACAACTCCATACTGCAAGAAGGCTAATTCAATCTCCTTTCCTTCCTTCCATGCACTTTACCTAAATTGTAGAATTTAAAAGAGAATGTACACAAACTGGAGTATTGAAGAAAAGAGCTGCATGCCTGTACATATACTACGTACAAGGGACCGAACTAGGCTTGGGCGGTTCCCTTGTTGATGAGAACCGACTCCGGTTCTCACTCTCGGCCTCGGTTCCAAGTGGAATCGACTCCCGCTGGCTGCCATATACAGTACATGTAATTGAAGCCACAATGCTGTAAAGGCCACACACACACACACACCAGGGAGGTGTTTACACACTGTATGTTATGTACTGTGCATGTCGGCTCCACTCAGCAGTGGCACCGATAGCAACAGATGATTTTCTGAGATATTTTTTTGGAAAACTTTACTTTTAAAAATGAGTATCAAAGGTATGAATGTATGTGTGACTTGTGTGTGTAAATTGATGTTTTGTTTATATCTGTTTCGTCTCATGATATCTCTACAATTACATGCAAACAATATATAAAGAAGATCAAAGTGCAGACCTTCATAAACAGTTATGAAATGATTTATTTTACTACTTTCGATCAAATCGAGAAAAAAACATGACCACTACTAATAAAGTAATTAATTATTTAATAACTCATGGCAACTTGGCAACAATGTAAACAAACAAAAACATGTTAGGTCTAATTTAAATTCTAAACTTCAACATAGAATGATGGAATAATCAACTCGTACTTACACTGCTAAAATGTAAGAAATGCAGAACAATTATTTCCAATATTACGGTAAACAATCCATTATGTAAAACTAAAGATTCTGATTCCCTGCCCAAAATAAATGGAATGTATCCGAAACATGCCTGGTCCGCTGGCTCTCCTCCCAGGGACCAACCTTTATCTGAGAGCTAAGTGTAAATAACTCATGCTCACATGGCCGCCCGCCCGCCCAAGCCACCCAAAAACTTTAATGACCCCAGGATTTCGATGCCCCAGCCCCAGCTCGTGGCACTCCATTCCCATGGTTACTACTAACCACGTGCTTTCTAAACAACAGATAACAGCGCTAGATCTTGGTTTCAGAATAACTAGTCTGCATTTTCAGCCACTATTAGAGATTGCGCTAATGCCACAGCGAGAGGGGACACTTGACTTGCCTGAATTATTCTTATTTGTTTAAATACCCCCAAAAAGAACACAAGACAGAGAGATGTAGATCTGCAAAACTTATTCTTGAGACAAAAATAATAACAGAAGGGGATGCTAGAGGGAGAGAGAAAGGGAGAAGGGGAGATGTTGACCTGCCACATTTATTCTTGTAAGGAAAACAAAATAACTGAAGGAAACAAGATATAGGGGGTGGGGGAATGTACATGTAAATTGTAAACCTGTCAAACTTATTTTTATGAAGAATAAAACTTGATGAGGAGAATTCAAGGGAGAGAAAGGAGGAGGAAATTGTGAGTTGTGTGATTTAGTTTATTTGAGGAAGAAAACTAAACGTCTGATGTCTAGGGGAAGGGGAGACTAGGGATAGAGAGAGAGAGAGAGAGAGCAAACACAAAGTCACATAATTCAGTTTGCGCACGAGAGAAAACATGAATCAACTCTTTGATCACACGCTCCAAGAGGAGAGAAAATGGGGCCATTGTTCCAAGACTCTTGCGCAATTTACCAAAGGTCAAACGTTCAGCTGGGGGGGGGGGCAGTTACAGACAACATGCAGCACACACATCTCACTCTGATGCACAGTACTACGAAGGAGGTACACACACAAATGTGTGTATCAAAACAGCATGCTGCTAGTGCGACCATCGCTCGCATGCATTCTGCTTTGACAGAGCTGATTTTGTTCATTCTCTGTGCTGTGGAATCGCCACCAGTTCGTTCGGGCAATGTTCCTTCGTTCACTTTTGCAAAGTATCTCTTTGAATTTTGGTCGACTCCAGCGCCAAAGACTCGGTTCTTATCTTGGAACCGAGTCTCCTTTTCTCGGAACCGACGTGCTCGAGTAATCGACTCTCTAGAGATTGGAGTCGACTCCTCGGTTCTGGATTTCAGAATCGGTTAGAGTCGGGTACTCGGCTCTCGCTCCCAAGCCTAGACCGAACATGATCCACATTTTTGTGTCACTATTGGGCATCTTTCCAATCTTAATGGACATACCCATTGTACAGGCCAAGCTTAGTTGATAAAAGGGACTTTCCAGAATCACCAAAATATTCCCTGCTGCTGTAATGTGAGGCACTTTCATATTTACAACCCATGCAGGTTTAAGTACATATGGACTCATTCCGTTTGCACCCAAAAGTTGATATTAAAGGTACACCCTGTATAGATCTCCATATAAAATCCACACTTCTAAAACCAACTCAAGAAGGAGGAGAGAGACCTTGTGTATCTCCATTACCAAAGTCATCAGCATCTCAATTGGCACTGATATGTATCCACGAGATGCACCAGGGGATTTACAAGAGGAAGGCAGGAACCAAAAGTCTGAATGTTGCAAAGAAACAGCCTAGTAACCAGAGATACCAGTTTTAACAGGAAAAAATTGATAAAAACACTAAGGGTTCAAACCACGAGTACATTCCTTGGTTACTCTCAGCCCATATCAGCTGCAAATGTGAAAGTGGTATAAGCAGCTTAGGGTGTATGAAGTAGGCAAATATTAGTGTTATAGAGTAATCCCTTTACAAAGGACCTCTTAAGCTCCACATGTAAAGGACATTCATGGTGACACATTGTACTCTCTTTCTCTCTCTCTCTCTGTATTTATTTATCTCTTTCTCTCTTTCTCTCTCTGTCTCTCTGTCTCTCTCTGTTAAGTGGTGAAATGCTTGGTTTGCTCGACCTGGTAGAAGCCTAAGTATCACTGATTATTGGCAATGCCGCTTACCCATTATCTATGTTACATACAAGTAGTATTTATTTAAGTGTAGCACTCACCAATAATAAAAAAAAGTACACGTAATGTGATTATAAAAAGAAAGTTTTAGCTTTTTACTTTATGCCTAGGCTTCCCAAATAGCTGTACAATAAGGTTTTTTTTCACAAGAGCTCTTTCTTTGCAGCACTTTTTGTGAATCTTTTTTGGGTAATACCAGATCCCTTTCCAAGCTTTCTAGAGGAAGCGCATTAGATGCTCCCATTTAATTTTCACTGCGTCCAATACTGTAATCTTAAAAAATACATCTGTAATAACAAAATGATGACGATCAGCTTGCTCTGCAAAACTTGAAAGCTTTTCAAATAGATAGATGACAACAAAGGAAACATCAACATCTGCTCAAAGAAAAAAAGAAGTGGAAAAAGTATGAACACTATGAAAATTTAGTTGTTTGTTTCATTTCTACAACTTCTCATAGCCATTCTTGTTGCTGATGTAGGCCCTCTCACCCTTTGGGTAGATGAAGTGATTATTTTTCTAGCAAGAAATAAGTCTACGGTGAGAAAAACACAATTTGAACAGAAGGCTCTGCTGCTCTGCAAGCCATTATTGATTTAATGCAACATTATCACATCAAGAATACAATACACTTGTATTGTAAACAGAGTTTGCATTGATCTTTTCCTAGAACCTGTGGTTATGTTTTCAAACCATGCATAGATTATCTAGCTCACATGACTTCTTCTGACTAGATAACAAAAGTTGGGGACGATGAATAAGCAGATTGAAAGCTTTGTTTTTTTAAACTCTTTAACAAATTAATAAATAAAAGAAGGTTAGAAATACCTACTTTGTTTCCCATTTAAGCAATGAGATCTGCTTCCCCTCATTAGGATTTAGTGGGGGATATATTTTTGGGCATTTGCAGGAGGTTCAAAGTGAGAGAAACCGAAGAGAAGGCTTACGTTCGTCAACCTTCAAAGAACTACATTGAGAGAGGGCTTGGAATTTTGATAGCATCTGAGTGGGTTTAGGCATGGTTTAGGGAGGCCTGCGTCACTTCAAGGTGTCTGTATTTTGACTTCTCTGCAAACAAACAAGGCTTGAGCAGCATACTTCCAAGGGGGGCCAACAAGGATCACTCAAGTTCACATTAACCATAACCTTTCACCTATCTGACTAACCTAATCAAAAAGGATAGCCCCAAAGTGTTTCCCACCAAAGAAAAGTATTTCTTTAGGTATTACAGCACCAGTCATGGGCTATATCAAAGACAAGAGATAGAGCTGATAAACAAAAAAGAGAAGAGGGAGATAGTAAAAGATGGCTATATACATGTAGGAGGTAAGAGAGGGTACAGTCTGCAAACATCAATCTGAATACACAACCATTCGCCCCCATGAGCCAGAGTGTTCGCTGCTGACCAAAGATATGATCGGAGATTGCGTC